TCCACAAATGGTTAGTGGGTGGATACATAACATGTTCTCAAAGCGAGCAGTAAACATAAGTGCAGAAGATGTCAATATAAGAATCTTGGTTGCGAGGGGATGTCCACAGGGAGGGGTGCTATCACCTCTACTGTAGAATATGGTCCTCGACATCAGCCGCCTCAATAATGATAGTCACTACACAATAGCATATGCAGATGACCTGGTCATTCTGCAAACAGGGAATTTTGAGAACATACTTTGCGAAAGAATGCAAGTAGCTCTAAAAATTATAGAGCAGTGGTGCAAGGACCATTCACTGTCTATCAATCCTAAGAAGACAGAAATAGTCCTTTTCACAAGGAAAAGGATGAAAACTCCTAAACAGAAAACTAAACTTTGCAACAGAGGTGAAGTACCTAGGTCTCACCTTTGACAGCAAGTTAACATGGAACTCGCGTTTAGAAAACAGAATTAAAAGAGCATACATTGCTTATGAACAATGCCACCGAACTTTGGGGCGCACCTGGGGTTTCTTCCCCAGAGTCGTCGCATGGACTTACACGGCTATCATAAGACCTATGCTAACATACAATGTAATTGTCTGGGTACCGAACACCCAAAAATTAACAGTTATCTGTAAACTAGAACAAATTCAAAGAACAGCATGCCATAAGAGAAGTCATGAAAACAACACCAACCAGAGCCATGGAAGTCATTCATAGTCTCACTCCCCTTGATATTTACATCAAGGAGGTTCCTCTGACGACAATGACATGCCTCCGCACGGTTGGAATAGAACCTGATGTAGGATTTGGTGAGGCGAGACGTCGCTTTTGGCAGGAGGCATTCGATACGCTCTCACTGCTTCAAGCGAACATAGACTCCATCTCACCGAAATATATCTTCCATAAGCCGTATAAAGTTATAATAGAACAAATAGAAGAGCCAGAAGTGGCAGGTACGATTCATTCATATCTACACCTACGGTTCTAAAACAGAACAAGGCTCAGGATGTGGAATATACCCCAGATTCTTAAACCTAAACATAAAATAGGCTGTGAGCAATAGTGCCAGTGTAGTTCAAACAGAGCTAACAAGGATTCTCATAGCAGCAAAAGAAGTAACCAGAAACAATATCGCTGGAAGGAACATGCTCATCTATACAGATAGGAGACAAGCACAACTTACTCTGAACAGACCACGAATTTACCCAGGATTACTACTAGAATGTCAGGAAGCTTTGGTCGAAGTATCCATCAACAATGTGGTTAAAGGTCACATCGAAAGGTAACCGTCTTGCTGATTCACTAGCCAAGAAAGCAGTCAACCAAATACTTTTTGGACCTGGCTCTTCTATTGGCCTGACAAAATCGGTAGTGTCAGACCTAATTAAAGAACATTCCCTTGTGAAATTCAAGGAAAGATGGGATGAAACAAGAAACTGCAGAGTTGCCAGGAAGCTGACAAACTGCAGCAAACAAATAATGGACTATGACTAGACAGAATCTGCGCCTAGTCACAGGCATTCTGACTGGTCATTGCCAAGTACGGAAACATCTCTATATCATAGGGCTGTCAGAATCCGCACTCTGCAGAGGGTGTGAACAAGAAGATGAGACCATCGAGTATATCCTTTACGATTGCTCGACGCTCTTATTTATTAGAAGATTTGTGTTCAGCGAGTATCGGCTAACACCGGCCGATATAAGAGAAGCACCACTTGGCGACGTTGTCAACTATATTAAATCTGTAGGCTGGCTCACGAGCTAGGAGGTGCCTATCATCTTAGGAGGATGCACAATGGGCCTAGTGAGGCCTAAGTGCCGTGGGGTAACCCACTCTCCACACGTTACAGATACAGATCCCTTAAGAATGTAGTTTGGATACACCTTCGGCTAAACACAGGTTGTATGATTAAGGTATAACACAGCCTTTTTATGTAATCAAGATAGTTCAATAAATCTTTGATCAGGAAGCTCAAAGAAGTTGCTGTGGTCTCTTAAATGGCGTCTTTGTAAGAAAAGGCGCTTGTTTCTATCCATCTGTTGAATTCTTATGTAATTATGTTGTACAAAAATCATAGTTTTATTAACATTAACTAAACCAATTGTCCAAACTCAATTAAATTGGAAAAATCGACAAAAACAAAATCTGGCTTTGAGATTTGATATAAGTATAAAAAACTGCGCATTAATTTAAATTGTACTTCTACTCTTTTCAGTGCTTTGAGCAGTGGCGTACTCAGGGGGGGGGGGCAAAGGAAGCAACTGCCCCCCCCTCAGAAAAACCAAGAAAACTTACAGTTCATCAAATTTCTAGAGGCTTTCGACGGCTAGACAAAGAAAGCACTACTGACAGGCATCCCGACGGATTTACGCAATGAAAGTACACTCTGCGCATCAAGTATTTCACTATTTCATTCAGACGTAGATGTCAGATGTAAATTTCGCTAAAACATTTCTTTTATTTTCGTTTGTGTTTTTTGCTCATTACAGTTTAATAGAACCTAAGTATGGAGTTTAATAGCAAATTAAGAGGCCGCGTGATTAACAGTCAATTTTGCGAAATAATAGCCAATGTTATAGAGTTTATGAGAAGAGAAGGAAACTTTAATTCACCTTCAATACCATTTAAAAATGTAAATGATCGTGTTGCTGCAGCCACAGGAGTATCTAAAAACACTGTCGTCCGCATTTCTGGAGAGAGAAAAAGAATCGATAACCGTGAGATATCGGAATTTTCATCACCAAGAAAAACCATTAAAAAACCAAAAACAGTTAATGATATAGATGAAGCTGCACAAGAATCAAATTTTATTTTTTTATTATTAGATAGCTATTTTTGTTTCTGAGTTGTGTTCATTTACAGGCTCAATTTTTTTCCGTTTCTCCTTTTTGATTTTATATGGGGTTTCAAGTTGTTTTTGACTTATTTCGACGTAAATCACAACAACACACTTTTTTAATAAAGCAAACAAGTGTTAAGAGGTATATGTACGTGTAAACTACAATTACAAAAAATTGATATGAAACCCATGAAACCACCAACAAAAATGTAAAGCTAGCTTCCGTACTACATGGTGTCATTCGTCGAGATAATTTATCGTTTTGTTTAATAGATCAAGAAATGTAAATATTCCCCTGTTATTTTTTATAAAATTATAAGAAAAATAATTTTTTTTCTAAATAGTATAGTTTATTATTTTGTAGAAAATCAAAATTTCGAAAATTTTAGTAATGTTTCAGAAACAACCGTTATTAATAATAGGTACCATTTTCCTTAATAAGGTAGAAATAAAATATAAACTATTTCCACGATTTACAAAGGCCTACAAAAAAATTATAGGTATTTTCCGCTATCCTATAAAATTTATATTTTCTGACTAAATTTCAAAAGGTTGAAGGAATTCCAAAACACCTTTTATGGCATAATAATTATTTTCAATTCTACATACTATCTTTAGCTGCTTTTAAAAACGTTCTAAGAAAGTCCAATCAGACCAATTTAATCCCTAAACTATTCCACACTTTTAAAATTTAATTACCTAAAAATATTAAAAACTATTTAAAATAACTTGTTTAGCAGACTGTACAATAGCTATCTTAGTCACACGTAGCGCGTTCTCTGTCTGGGCGTCGAACACCTCTAGAAATTTGATGAACTGTAATTGACATTATACATAGGTATATAAAGTGACCAGACTACCAGACTTCCTGCATTGCATTGAGCAGGACAGTCAAGCATTCATAGACTCTGTCCAGCGACTGTGGCGCTTCATTGAACCGAACAATAACTGGTCACTTTCGGTGAGCTCAGGACCGGAGCGAGCGAAGGGGAGAATTTTGGAAAAAAAGACGTGTTTTTTTGACGATTTTAACGACTTTTGGGTAAAAATTCCCATTCAAGAAGCAAGAGGGTGACGAAGGCGTGATTTTTAACGATTTTAACGGCTAATGAGTTAAAATTGGGCGTGGCAAACCCAAAATTTTCTGCCTCTGGCGGCCCCTGCGGGGAGCTATACTTTACCATATTTCCCCACATATAAAGCTCCTTCATTCCCTAAAGGTTCCTTTTTCTTGTAAATGAACAGAGGTTTTTGTCGGGTTTGTGGACAATCCTTCTGTTAGGCACCATTTTCAGACGATATTTAGTATTTGCTGCATCCTTTCGGATACAACAGACCCAAATTTACCATTTACTACGATGCTTATGTCGTCTGCAAATGCTTTCCTGTATAAGTTTTCTCTCTCTAACTCCCATAAGAGGTCACGAGGTCATCAACCCCCAAGGTCCACATACTCGTACTATACTACGAATTCTTATACCGAACTATTTATTAGGGGCTCGAAAAAGGGAATCACGAATTTGTCAATACCGGTTTGAATATCGGAAACAATTCGATTTCGTAATCTCGCAACTAATTGGAATCCTCCAGCAGAAAGAAACCCTTTAATATACTCTCTATCTAGAATCATACAGGCCTATATTTCTAACACGTAAAGTTACTTGAGAAAATCGTTAATAGAAGATTAATATGGAGTGTAAAAGCTAGTAACTATCTAATACCACAACAAACCAGCTTCCGGCAATTCAGTAGGATACTAGGTAATATTGTAGACTTAGCAAGTTACATTAATAAAGTCTTTACAAATAAACAAGAATGTCTAGCTATATATTGTATTTCGAAATCTACAGAACCTTCGACATCACCCCTATTAATTAATAATTTCTAGACAGTTGGGAATATAATATAGTTGTTAGTTAAGACTTTAGACCCCTGTGAATTCGGTCAAAAGAAAAAATCACAATTGCTTTGTTTAATGCAGATGATTTTACCTTTAAGTTTTGAATAATTTTAGGTTATATGCTAATAAATGGGCAATTGTTATATTGTAGATTTAAAGCCCAAGTCAAAATTACTGACTAAAAACACCAAAAATTCTCCCTAGTCGTTGTTTCCTACAGAACCACGCCCAGGGACAAAACTAGTGCGCCTTTAGGCTTGTCCAAAAACTTGCCTTTAAGGAAATCGATATTTTCTTCGGAAGGTGTCAACATAGGGGACGTAACGGTCTGTGTAAAAAGCAACGTAGCCGCGGCGTCATCTGTCATCAAAAACATGCGATCCTTAACAGATTTACCACTTTCTTCCGGCGATTTAAACTCCGTAAACGCAGGATGCTCATCATCATTCGGACTATCTACATCGATTTTGGGACTTAGGTCTAAGTTAAGATTAAACGTTGGAGGCGTTTTGGGCGTTTCTGCGACAAATTGGTCCGTCGGTTCAGTCTTTTCTGGTTCGGGTAACGTTTCGTATATATTCTCCTCCTCTTCGGTTTCTATGTCGTGACCGTTTTGGTTAGCTGCGCCGTTTTTTAGAGCGGGAACGTCGTAATATTGCTGACGCTCGTGCCGCAGGAAATCGTTGGTAGCGAGGCCGTTTCTCGAAAACGGTTTGACGGTATTGCTTAGAAGTGGGTTGTTTTCGAAGGTGTCGTCGTCTTCTGCGTAATTGTCGGCCGTCTCCTGGAGATCGTCCTGAAAGCGGAGTTAGTAGTACACGAAAATAAAACGACAGCTGGTTGTTAGTGCGTACACCGATAAGAATATTCTTCAAAAAAAGTAGGAGATGTAGACGATTCGTTTACTGATTTTTTCAGTAAGGACCAGGTACCTTTCTGATGTAAAAGAGGTATTCTGTTAAATTTTCTAAAATGTTGGTATACTCTGACAAAAAATATTTATTTTATTGGCCCAGACCGATCCTATGCCTACTTTTCAAAATACAGTGAGTTTAAACAATATTTCTCATAACACACCTATTTATTCTCCTTTGTTGTAAAAAACATGATTTATAGATTTGGCTTTCATATTTTATGACTGTAAAATTTTGTGAATTACAGGGCAGTTCGAAAATATACGTGATATTTTTTATATCTTTAAAAATACGAACGATTGTCATAGCAATATAAAAATATAATTTAGGTAATTACTTTTTCGAGATACATCTATCCAGCAATATGAAAATCCACATTAAATTTGTCCGGTTTTTAAAAACGGTGACTCAACTTGTATTTCAAACTACATATACCTTTATATTAGCTTTTTTGAAATAATTTTGTATGACGTTATTCATGCTTGTGTCAAAAACAGAATAAGTGAACAGCTGCACGTTTTCATAGCAAAAAAATCTACAATTACTTTACTGAATTTACTATAGAAGTTCTCGACTCAGTAGGTCAAATAGATATCATTTTTATAAATAAAAACTTTAGATCATATTAATTAAATACTTTTTAATGTTTAAGTAAAACGATCAAAGCCTCTGTATTTTACTTAAAATTAAAAGACATACAGCGTAAAAGTATGAGTCTGTAAACTTTATTTTGTTTATTATACGAAAAGTAGTTTTTGTGACTCTGAACATTTTCCCCCCTGTGCTCTTCATTTGTTATAGCCCAAGAGCTCACTGCAAATTTTGATAACGACATAAAATATGCCCCGAAGGCATGTAAAAACATTGTACTTTACCAAACGGCGCCTGTGCCAATCACTATCCTGAGCAAAATAGATAAACAAAATTATTTTATATTTGAAAAATCACATATAATAGCGATAATTTTGTTTGGCCTGAAAGTTTTCCAGAAAATAACATATTCAAATATTTCTTGAGTACCTACATCGTTAAAAGGAAACACGTTCTTCCCATTAACATCGCACAAAAAACATCTATCCATGATTAATAGGTAAAAACCATTAAAAATATTAATCAATTCTTGATGATTTAAAGATTTATTTCTATACTTATTGTTGTGATTTATTTTTACAGGTTGTCACAGAAACGACAAAAAACTACTATGATTGTAGTTTAAAGAATTGTCTAAAAAGAGTTTATAATTATTATAGACTATTTCTACAAATGGTTTATCCATAATCTCTTACTACAACCACCCAAGCCAAATCATCTCTACCCCTTTGATGGGCGACCTATCATTATTTCCTCGTGCCGTTTTGCTTGAAGATTTGAACTCCAGACATACCATGTTCAGAGATCATTTTTCAAACACAAATAGCATTCGCCTAGCTAATCTGCTCATCGACTACCCCATATTCAGAGCCTCAAACCGACTTCCTACCTTTGTATTTCACCAAGGATAATCTATTGTCGACCACATCCTTTTTAGTGGTTGCTGATAGATACTTCATTGAAGAGACAATCACCTCCGATCATCTTCCGTTGATGTTATATACATCTCTCTTTATCCCTGATCCACAAAGAGCTACAATTTACATCTTCCGGAATCTCAAAAAAGCAGATTGGCCACTATTTCAGAGAACTATCTCTACAAATATTCCAGGACAACGCCCGCTCAACAGGACATCGATAAACTGGTAACCTAAATCCAAACCACCATCTCCCAAGCAGTCGAAACCTCAGTCCCAATTACCTCCATCAGCACATCCACAAAAAGCCCTCCCCCAATACATCCTAAATCTCATTTTACAAAAACGCCGATTTTATAGACAATATGTCGGTCCACGACCCTGTCATCAAAACTGAATGGAATCGTCTAAACGCCCTGATCAGCCTCCAAACTAACGTACACAAACAACAATAATGGATCAATACCATTTCTAATTAATAAAGGCGGTTCTAAGTACTACCACATCGAAATCGACAGTTTAATCCACACAACCTCCGACAACCTAGCTCACAAAACACACCTTGAAGCCACCTTCAGAACCCCCGACAACCACTACTTTGATGACCAATTCAAAGACGAGACCGAACAAAACGTCCTTCAGACACTTACCGCTCCAGTCCCACTTTTAGATGTCGAAAACCCCCTCTCACAACCCCTTTCACCCTCCAAGACATCCAACATGTCTGCCAAGCAGGCAAAAATACGGTCTTAGGACCCGATTCCATACATAGAAGAACGCTGAAGCATCTTCCTGACACCATTTTTCCTATCTTTACGCCTGTATCTACCTCTCCTTTTTCCACTTGCCTGGAAATCCGCTAACACTATTTTGTTTCCCAAACCAGAAAAGGATCCCAAATCCCTAGATTCATACCGTCCTATCTCCCTCACATCAGTCCTAGTTAAACTCCTTGAACTTCTGCTCAAGGAAAGAAACTATGATGTTTGTAAAGAAAGATCATTCTTCAATCCCAACATGGATTCAGACCTCATCACTCCAAACAGGTCGCAATTTCCTCCCTTCACACTACTGCGGTCACTGCAGTAAACTTCCAACAAATCTCATCAGCTGTTTTTCTAGATGTTCAGAAAGCCTTTGACCAAGTCTGGCATGCTGGACTAGTAAAAAAGCTTATGAACATAGGTCTCCCCCCAGCATTTCCAAACTCATTCACTCCTACCTCACTGATAGAACAATCACGATCAAAGTAGGCAACTCCCTGTCAGACTCATTTACCCCACTTGATGGGGTTCTACAAGACTCCGTCCTGGCCCCTCTCCTATACCTCATCCCACCTATACCGACATCCCACCTCCAAACCACCCATCTCAAAATGCCTTCTATACGCCGACGATACTGTTCTGCTTCTGACCAACTAAGTACTCGAACCCAAAATCTATTAAACAAGTATTCTCGCTGGTGTAGCGAATGGAAGGTTTGACTCAATCCACAAAAAACACAATTTATCATCTTTAAACATCCTAACTCACAAAGAATCTCCCAGATCCCTCAACACGTCGATGTAAATCTCCTGGGAGTCAGACTCGCTCAACAGAGTATTTGGGAGTACGCCCCTCATGATTATGATTATTTATTTTGGAGTCTGCATCGTTATATAATTACTTAAAAAAATTAATTGCTTGGCAATATTTTAAGGAAAAATTCTAGGGTTAAATACAGTATTACCAAACCATTCTAAAAGTGAAATAAACTATAGGGTGTTCAATTTAAAAAAATATACATTTTTATTTGCTAAGCAAAAACGCAACATCCTGTATAACCAAAAATATTTTTAAAATGCGTATTTTTAAATTCATATGTTTTATTTGAAGTTTGTGTGTCTATAACAGAAATTGAAATATTGAACAATTACGCACTAATGGGACACCCTGTATTATTTAAAAAAACAAGATAACTACCGACCAAGCTTCGATAGAAGATCCAAAATAAAATTTAACAGAACAAATCAAAATCGAGTTCACTGCTCAAGTTTTTGAACATTGTAAGAAATTACGAAAGTTGTCCGTGATTCTAAAATGAAATATATAGACCAAGAGAGTTCAAAATACAAAGGGAGATTAAAGGTATTAAGTAGATTAAGTTTTAGGAGAGAGGAGGGAGGAATGACGTAATGGTTGGAGAGAGGTGAAACGCGTAATGTACGGGGATGCCGTCTGTAAACATGTAGAAAAAATACAAAAATTTGCTTTAAAAAAAATGCATTTACAATCAAAAACAAAACAAAATACCTACTAAAGTACCTAATGAACATCAATCAAAGGTCTCAAAACCCAAAAACGCAAAAAAATATACCAAAAATTTATCGTCAAACTGTCGAATACAATTACGAATAAGTATAATCAATCAGATTCACTATAAAAAACAGAAAATACTTAATATTTTCCCCAAAAAAGGTCGCTGGAGGACATCAAAATCCAAAAATGTTAAAAAGAAATAAAAACTGTTTTTTCACCAAATTATGATCAAACTAACGTACACAAAAAATATATTGATTAAAAATAACTATAAAAATAGAAAATACCTACCGTTTATATTCCACAAAAAAAAAAAAAAAACGAAAAATGCTGACCTACAATGAGAATGAATGGATGCCATAATAAATTTAGGGTGCTATATAAAAAAAGCGGGACAAAACTTCAAAAAGACATGATAATACCAACTTTAATTTTACACTAAATTATATTAAAATCCAAAAAATTTTAAAATAAAAATAAGACTACTTAAAGAAATTATACAAAAAATCTATAAGAAACAAAAAACTTAGAGGCGGTCAAACTAGCGTTGCCAGATATCAGGAGACAGCCCGAGACAGTCGTGCAAACTTTATTACTATGAAAGTACGAATATTATAAATATTGTTACGCAGCACCCTGCAGCGTGCTGCGGTCATCATAAGTAAAGGTACGAGAGTACGAGTAAATGAAGAAGATAGAATAGTCCAGAAATATAATTCCTTGTCAAAGAAAAATCCGGATTGTTCGAGAAGGTTCTAGAAGGTTGAGGCAAGCTATATAGGTCAACGACCTGACGTCAGTTTTATGATAGACGTTATACGTTAATGTTATCAGTTGTATAGTTATTGTAAAAGTTGAGTTGAAATAAATTGGAATACCAAAAACCTGCGTAACAATATTACTGTACCTATTAATACTAATATAATAAATAGGCTTTATACTAGCACCCTCCCTTAATACCGCCCTATTTACCTATCTATGCCCAGTTCTACAGCACCAAATCGCAACCATGTAAAACCGTTTCTGTAAGTCACTCTGTATAAAATACATCCAAGAAGTAATTACTTAAACTTTATTTTTATGTTGCAAGAAAACAAACTACGTATTTTCGAACCACCCTGTAATTAATCAAATTCTATAATAGGTAATTGTTGATAAAATATTAATGCTAAATAATCTATAATTCATGTTTTCTACAACAAAATCTGTTATGAGAAATTTAAAAACGAAGTGAGATTATACGTTGAATAGATATTGAGGCGTTTTTTATGGTAGCCTAAGTATTTACCAGTATTACCTCGTAAAACTGGCAGTTGATGGATTACAATTATTCAGTTTTATAAAAGGACAAACTCATCCTTAGTGTACCAAATAGGATAAAGAAAACTGTACATTATTTCTTATTTCTGTTTCTGATTTTAGAAAATTATTAGAAACCTATCAGTGAGCCCTTATTTTTATTGTTGTCTACATCTTCCTTTTTTTAAAGAAATATTCTCAGTGTATTTAGGTGGAACGTATACTATTACAAAATCAATTTCTCCAATATAAACAATCAATAAAATAACATCATTATGTGTATATGTAGGAATGAAAAATCAAAATAATTTTTAATCTGAGAGCTGTATACTGTAAAATTAGTATGCTAGTTTTGTGTGCTCAAAATGAGTGATCATAGTAGTTTCCCACGAAAGAATAAAATACGATAAAATTTATTTCCATAATGTAGTAAATAAACACAATCTTCTGCTATATGTGGAAGTAGTAATGCTGTTTGTTGCGTACATACAAGATCACACCTTTGATCCTGCGTTGCTTTTGTTGGAGTAAATTGTAAATGACGCACATTCAAGAAAAGAACGACACAGTATTTTAGTTACCAAACACAGATAGAGTCAACGGACGGCTGTCCGTTACCGGTAAATGGCAATATTGATACTGTACACTTTTCTCTCCTGCACATGCAAACGCAATTTACTATTCATTTAAAAACAAGCAAAGCGAGACCGAAGGTCTGATCTAGCCAGCACTGCATACAAGGCGTGGCTAGAAAATACCTGCACTGATCGTTCAGCAAATAAACCGTGAGGACGTCAATGTCAAACAGAACATAAGCGTGTTACGTTATATTTCTTCTCTATTGTTATCATAATAAATATTAGTGATGGGCATAATCCGCATAATCGAATGATTATAATAGTCGGATGATCACTCGAATGATCAGATCACCCAAATGGTAGTAAAGTTTTTTCCGCTTGTCTGTCGATTATTATCTAATTCTGATTCAGATTATTACAACGTTGAGTCTGTTTATTAGATATAATTTCGTCACTATTTGATCTTGATGTTTTTTTCAAAATGCGTCCTATAGAGAAAAAGTCAGTGGTCCGGAAATAAGTCATGTTAAATATGCAAAACAGTTTAAATGTTTTTGGCAATACTACGAAATCAAAACCACGTAATGTATCTACCGTATTTACACAGTAATCATTAATTATTACCAAAAGTACATCATTATCGATTTCATTAACTATATCCGTCCATTACATGATTATACACGGTCATACTCGCTGTTGCCCGCGGCTTCGCACACGTGAAAATATATTAAAAACACGACGTTTTTAATATAAAAAAATGCATGACTGCCCAAAGAATATGTTCTTTATAGTTTATAGTATGTATTATAGATTAATCGAATATTTAAGTATAGTAATCTATTTATTTTTATTTATTTTTTTATTTTTATTTATTATTATTTATTATTTTTATTTAATTTATTTATTTTCAATTATTTTCATTTATTTTCATTTTCATTTATTCATTTTCATGTATTTTCACGTATTTTCACGTATTTTCTTTTATTTTCATTTTCATTTTTCATTTATTTTCATTTATTTATTTTCACGTATTTTCACGTATTTTCAAGTATTTTCAAGTATTTTCAAGTATTTTCACGTATTTTCATTTAGTTTCATTTATTTTCATTTATTTTCATTTATTTTCAATTATTTTCATTTATTTTCATTTATTTTCATTTATTTTCATTTATTTTCAATTATTTTCATTTATTTTAATTTCACCACCGTTTCTCCCGCTTAAAATGTGAAAATACAAAACCGTGAAAAACGTCATTATTCCAATTTTAAAGTTCCTACCATCAAAGAATCGAAACCCCCATACAATCTTTCACACATTGTACAAACATTAATAGAGAAGTACATCGAAAAACAGTTGAAATTTTAGCACACTATGTACTTTGATTAATTTTTAATTTGGAAAAAACTTTTTTAAACAATTTATAAATAACCAAATGAAATTTAATAATCTACGATTTATTATTGAATAGTAATATTTTAAGGAAATTTAAAAATTTTAAAAAACATTTTATTATAGTATAAAGTTCCACCCTTTTACACATTTTCAAAAAATATAAAATACACAATTTACTTTGTGATAGATATACATAGTATTTACTTTATTTCCTTGTATAACTTTTCTTTCTAAAATAGTGAAGAATTACTTTTACATTACGTTTAATTATTTTTATACTTATTTTTTTTCTTTATAAACTAAATATAATCAAATCAAATATCCTGTAGATTTTAATATAATTTTAATTGGAACAAACAAATTAAACTTTTTTTAATTATTGGAAACCTCATAATTTTTATAACAATCGAAATTGATATTTTAATATGATTTGAAAATGTGTTTCAATATCTACTATAAAACCAACGAAAATACACACTTTGCTCATGCAATGTTTTAGTCTGGTGTTAAACTCTTCCAATAAAGCTGCTTCGAGATTTTCTTCTTCATCACTTACTATTCTAGATTTCTTCACTGTCTCAGCCATCTGCAAACAAAACAACAACAGTTATTAACGAATTTATTTAAGAGATATAGTCCAAGCAATGAAGCGATTACCTGTGAAAAATTAGAATAAAGCTAAAAATTGATGAGTCCAATTCGACATTTTTTAATCGGCTTTTTTAATCGATTTTTTGAGAACGCTGCACAAAAGGTTAATCTGAAATGAAAAACTCTTGTCCCTTGTTCATCTAAAGGATACAACTTTTATATTTTTCCGAATTTCTTCATCTACGCCCGCGCGCCTTTAATCGCTTCTAATTCATACAATATCCGTATTAAAAGTACTTCCTTTGAGGAATATAAGCTAGTATAACTTTATGATTGATTGTCGTTTTCAAGGGAAATTATAAAATAGAGTTAACTTTGATGAAATTTATAAACATCAGCCGATTTTGAGCGCTCGCCATTCACTCAAATGTCAAGCTATCGACTCGAAATAAAAACTAATGTAAAGTATATTTATCTAGGTATAATGCGAATTTTGAAAAAAATTCAATATGGACCATACGTTTTACCCATAGCGCTCGCGAACTGAAAGCAGTGCAAACATAGAAGCGTGGCCTTGAACAAGACATGGCTCTCTTTAGGACGCTCCAGAGGGTAAACCATAAATACTAGGATAGTACTCTAACGGGGTTTTTGTCACAAATTTCCTCTAAATAAAGTCTGGATAAAAATTTTTCATATCAGATTAGCCGTTAGCGCAACGTTTTCAAAAAATCGATTTAAAAAAATCCCTTTAAAAATTTTGTAAGTCAGATCAATTGTAAAGGTTTTCACAGGTAACTCTATTTCCTGACCTAATTCTTCTACATGGAAGTTTTTTAATTTTTAAAATAGTCAATGCCAAATATGCGTTCAGGTATCATGCTCACGGTAGCACTAATTGGCCATGATTTTAATCTTATGGCTCATCACCATATCATGGATGTTTTCATAGTTTTATTTTTAAATTACTTTCAAGTTACGAGCTACGATGTAAAATCGTTTCAATCTGGAGATTTTCACCATTTTTGCAATATTTGTTAACAAATTTGTGTCAAATATATACATACATTTATACATACAATTATTGCTGTTATAACTATTTAAACTGTAACGGTATCTCAGCTCCAATTATATTCTTATAATATTTCGTTTTTTCATTTTGTCATAGAATTTGTTTAATTTGTTAGCTGTAACGATTAATTATTTATGAATACGTTTCACCCACAAACAAGGTCTATTCTACTGTGCGACTTTATTATTTACTCATAACATTTATTAACTCGTTTTATTAATTTATAATTTTTTATTGGGGTATATAAATATTATATTTTTACATGGGGATGCTTAAGAGGTAAAGAGCTCAAATATTTTTAAATGGCTTAAGGGATAAATTACCCAATTTTTTTCATAAATTGTTCAATTAATTTGCAAATCCTAATTAAAAGACGACATAGAATGGTTGTTCAAAAATAGGGCTATCAATGTGAATATCCTCCATGTGGTTTAGCCTAAACAACGCCAATGATTCACAAAACTGAACATTCAACATACCAAACTTCTCATCGTCTTTCGTTCAAAATCAAATCGTTTCTAGATTCTTTTACTAGTGTGCATTTTGAGGCCTCAGTCTCGATGAGGTGAGAACTACCAAATTAGCAGCTTCCGAATTTTTAATACATTTCCACGAGACACATGAAACAGGTTTCTTGGAAATTCACTTGCTTCATACTTAATATTATATTTGGTTCCTCTTGTTAAGAGTTGGAGGGCATAATTAGTTCTCGTTCAATGGGACATTCCATATTGTTACCAATACTTTATTATAAAATCTTAAAGAAAAAAGAAGGAGAAGAAACTATAGTTAAATTTGCATATACACATAAAGATGAAGGCAGAAGAAATACAATAGATGAAAAAGCTAGTAAAGGATAGCAGTGCATGGAAGAAATGCAGGAAAACCGGATAATAAAAGTGTAAAATAAATAAATGAGTATGTTGTACCCACTTTAGTAAATTACCGAGTTATTTACGATAATGTAAATTAAATTATCCAATATTTTCTAGCAACTTTTATTATTTATTGGTTAAAGTAGTTCAAACGACTTTGGAAGAAACATCATTTGTTCTTTATTGACGATTCCATCGCAGTATAAATCTGCATCTTTATGACAGTATAAAATTGCCTTTTATTAAAACAGTTAAAATAAGTATTGCACTTTAAAAAATAAAAGAAATAATATCTTGAACAGACATCAGAGTGTTGCTGTGTTTTTTTATTGCAATCCCTTTATATTTCTCGTACAAAAATTAACATGATTCGAACCCAGGGTCAAGGAAGACCATCACAATGCGCGTTGTCCTGAACTTTAACATGAAGACGCGTTATTATTCCAGATTTAAAATTATGAAAGACCATATTGTAACATGCATTTTTTTTTTCGAACCGCAGGTCAGTGGCAGATTTATTTACCAACATCATGTCTCGAGGCGCCTTGGGTCATTATGGTAATTACAACGAAGAAACACATTGCTCGAGAAATGACCCCCGCCAAATAAATGAGCCACATCCTATCGACATCTTTTTTTTCTGTCGTCACTCTTTTTTTTATATATGTTATAAGCCGTCTTAAATTCCGGATGATATTACGAGAGTCATTGGCTATTTTTAGCAGTGGACGTGTTTTAAGACGTTTGTGAATTGTTGGGATTATTTTGGGCTTTATTTTGCCGGATATAATCGTATACGAGGAAATTTAGAATTTCGAATCATTAAAAGAGGTTTAAATTGTGGATAAAATTGATCAGCGTTACGAGAAAAAAACCGCTAGGTTCGCTAGTGTATTTACGCAAGTGTTGCCAACGGCGAGGATTTTACCGGATTTCCTTATAGACCCAACTTATGAACTGCCATAAATTGACGCTTATGGTTTATTAATCAAATATTATAGCGAGATTTTATACAAAACCACCAAAAATGATGTGCGCGAACGTTTAAGATGTAATAAATATACTTTAAACTACAATTTAGTTATTTCTAGATAAAGTGGAATGGTTTTAAGAAGAATTCACAAAATGTTATTTAGCTACAGTATTTATATTCTAGATAAAATACGTTTTCTATTAAAAAGTTTTATTTAATCCTAATGATGATGACGGCCAACTGTGATTCCAATTAACGTGCAAAAGGGTTCTATTAGGTTTTTATTTTCAGTAAATTAAAATAAACCAGCTAATTAAGATGGTTTATTTGAATTTTCAAATGATAAATGATTATTATTTATTAACACTAATAATTCACCAATTTGTCTTAAGAAAACAATTAACATCGTTTATTTTTATAGAAAATATCTTGTGCATTTACTTCTTAAATATACTGCCTTTATATACATCAATTGTGTATCGATATCTGCAGTCAAGCCAGGTCCAGTGCAGTTAGAAGTTGGATGGGTGACCCTTTCAATGAACCTCGGCATACGTCAGTAGATAGACCATGTTCGTATGGGCTCACATAGGGAATTTAATGTGTAAGAGTGAGAGGTACAAATTCAATGGGTAAGAGTGAGATATACGTTATGAGGGGAAAACGGGGGAGTGCGGGGAATTAAATCTCTATTAACGTCGAACATAAAAATCATGCGTAGAACGAAAGCCAAAAGGGCATAAGCTTTAATCTCCGTTATTACTGATCCGATTGGAATGGAGAAAACAGGGAAGTGTGGGGAATTAAATCGCTATTAATGCTGAAGAGAAAAATCATGCGCAGTAGCAATGCCAAAAGGAATTAAGCGCGTATCTCGGCTACTATTGGTCAATTTTAAACGAGGAAAACGGCATTATGTACAAAACTTGGTAAATATTAACGTTTAAGAGAAAAATCCTGCAAAGTAGCAATGCTAAAAGGACCTAAGCTTGTATCTCGCCTATTATTCGTTGGATTTAAACGAGAAAAACGGCACTATGTAGAGAACGTGGTATAGATTAACGTCGAAAAGAAAACTCCTGCGCTGTGGCAATGCCGGACCTAAACTAACAAACCACAGCAAGCAGGCGTTATATCAGTGAGTATGAGGTACAGCGTCGATTGTGGCATCTTTTCGTAGATGTAAAGCCGTCGCGTCGGTTTCGAGTCAATGGATGTTGGGCTCGTTGAAGATCCCTACCTCTGGTTAGAACACCAAGAGATTCGACTAAATTTCTGGTAATTGGGGTAGCGTGCTCACCAGCGTCGCTGTTTAAACCTATTAGTCAGAGCTAGGCAGTACTCGAGTAAATTGTACTCAGTAATTGGTACTCGTAAGTACTTTCATCCTGATGGAACTCATACTCGAAAAATTTACTTTATATTTTAGAGTACTCAATACTTTTAATTCCTACAGCTCACGAGTAACGAGCACGAGTCCCGAAGCACGCACCCACCCGGGAAAGGTTAAATCATTCCAATATCCTAGAGCTTCTAGGGTTGTGACTTCTTTGGTTTCCTACAAAATTTTATATAAATAACTGAAAATAAAACTAATCAATAAATATTTTAATTTGAAAAAAAAAAAATATTTTTTCAAAAACCTTAGAACCGGTATAGTAGACTGATAGGACGATAAAAAGTAACTTCTTCAGTTTTTTGTCAAAATTACTTTTTTTACTTCATTTATTTTTATGGGTAAATCCATTTGAAATGGTACATTCAATGGTACATCTTCGTCAATAGGGTCTTCATGATGAAAGGGTTGCAACACATTTTCTAGGTTCGTAACGAATACGTTTCTTGTCTAATGTTTTTCATTTCCAATAGGAGTATATTATATTTAATTTTTTTTTATTTGTTTCCATAAATGGTAAATAATAATAAATACATTTTAAAAATTAGTCTCCAGATGTATTTTTAAGCTATTGCATAGCTTTTATCGCGGGCTTTGAGCGCGGAGACGAATCAAGAAATTCCGTAACACCGTAACGAAAAAAAAACTAACACCCCCCACTCTGACCGGCACAGCGGTG